CCCACAAATATGTATTTATCGGATTTAGTCTCAAACTTATCCGATTCAAGGCGCTTTAAATAAGTGTCATGGCCCCAAACTTTCATATGAGATAAATTGGGACTACTGTTTTTCCATAACTTGTATGGAGTTCTGTTAACCAACTTAGATGTGACATGATTTAGTGTGTTGCACACTGCAATCAATGCATGATCCCAAAATAATTTTGGGAGATTTGCATGGCTTGTTATTAATCGCATTACATCAAATAGTTATGATTCCTCCTTTTAGATATACCACTATACTGCAGTGTATATAGAGGAGTCCACTGCAAGAGAATCCCATTCTCTCTTAGATAATCTAAATTTTATTTTATTTTTTAAGATACTCCCACTTCGATTGGAACTCAATGTGAGCGTATCTTTACCTATTTGTTTCTCTAATTCTAGCTTGAATCTTTTGAACCTTTCAAAAACTTCATGCTTGAATTTCATCAAGTATACATGATAATTGATGACATAAGAGAAACCTCATCTGACTTTAATTGACATAGGTCCATATACATCACTATGTATTATGTCAATATTTACGCAGACTTATTCCTTTTCAAGTAAAAGGAGAATTGGTCATTGTGCCAAACAGGCATGTTTGACACTTGTCAAATGATTCAAAATCAATTGACCCTACGTATACATCTCTATGTATTTTGAAATTGCATTTCATCTACATGACCAATTCTGCAACACCAGATTTAGGTATTATTTAGATTATCACTATTATGCCTTTTAACTTTTATACTCATTATAGAACGCTTAGTATTTAGATTATAAATGTTATTTGTAGCTTACCATACTATAAAGATCTTAATTAAGATAAGTAGGAACAACAATTATCCTTAACATTAAAATGGTTCATGTCTGAGAATGAAATTCATTTTAATGCTTCAGTTACGGTGGGTACAAAGCAACATTTCTCTAATTTCAATACTAAGCCAAAAGGCAACAATAAGGAGTATGTTCCCACAGGCAATGCAGCAACATTTGTTCATCTTCAACGTGTAGGTCAACTTCTCCCTTTTGCAGTAGTCTACTTCTATTTAGTTTCTCCATATTTGTATAAACATGAGATCTACTTCTGGTATCAAATACTTAAGAAACTCGTGAAGTAGATGTAAGACATACAATATCTTCCAATGACCTTTCATTCTATAATGAAAACAAGGGTCATTAGATTTGGTATTTGTCCTTTGCTTTGACCGT